CCTTGGGTGCCGAGTTGAAATACCCGGACAGACGCAAACATATACACACACATACACACACATACATGCATACACGCACACCGGGGTCGTCACAATATGTGTTTTTGCATATAAGCAAAAACGCATAACAACGCAAAAGAAAGATAACAGACTAAAACTGCAAATCTAATCCCTCGGGATGTTATCTGCGACGTGTCCGGGTGGATAAGTACTGCTTTCACTAACAGCTTCATGCATGAATCAACTTCTTCACATTTTTCGTTACGCTAATTGATATGGGAAAGAGGTGTCGCGTTAAGCGATGTCGATATTTATTGAAGTTTTAGATTTTAGTGATTTATGTACATCTTTGGGATCTCAGTGATTAATAATCATTACTTTGTTTGTCTTAATTCTGTATATATGGTGTTTTTGTCAAATATGTATAAGCATGTTGACGAAAATGGATCGGCAGAAGCGACTATGTGTCTTTATTTGTGAAGGACAGATTGCGAGAATGTGGCAATGACTACAGGCCAAGGCGGCTCGCAGAACTTTGAGAAGGATCGGGAGCTTCGCTCTAGAAGCCGATATTTTTGTCGTTGCACGCGTTATTGTCATTTTTAATTCTGCACGTTGAATATCCGCACTCTTGTTTATACTTGAGGCACGAATTAATTTTGATATACGGATATTTCCGTTTCTATCTTCCTCTCGGGTAAAGCTGACATATCTGTCAGCTGACGAAGAGAAAGAAAAAGAAGCGACTGAGATAATGCAGGGCACCTATACAACATTAGAATTGCTAAAAACCCAAACAGATAAGACAGAAGAACTTTTGCAAACACTAAACCACCGAATTCTTTCTGATTATCTGGATCAGAATTTAATTCCGCTAAAGTTTTTCTTCCGCAACAGGAGGGCTCAAGTTTCATTCAGACTTTTCAGTGTAGAATTTCAAATTTACTTAAAACATCTTACAGAGGAGAGGTACTGAAAGGGACCGACGATGGGACGAAAAATAAGAAGTACTGACCACCAATGATGATTTCATGCTTTCCTACGCATAAATAATGGTGCGCACGATGCGTAGCTAGTGCTATCATGCATTTTGTGCAGTTCCGCCTAACGAGCGCTTTCTTTTAACAGCGTGCACTGCTCGACTGTGTGACGTGTGCAAATAAATTTTCGAAATGTTCTGACTGATTAAAATTTATATGTGCCCGTTTGCGACATCTAGAAATACGTAGAAGTTGAACCTAAATTTTTCGATATTACACATGGTCAGAAAAATTCCATTTCTCCAAAAATTTCAGCTTTCTTTTTTTTAGTCCCGAGTTAGCAAACCAGGACTTCCATGTGTCCGTACGTGGTGTCTGAGTTTACGTGAAGACTGAATTTTAATTTGAGGCGTCGCTTATGGACAGGGATAATTTTCGTCTTCGGCGAAAGAAAATGGAGCAACATTCCTTTTCTTTCACAGAAACCGCAAATAGCGAAAAAAGTGTTTTAAAGAATTGAACTTGCAATGAAGACATACCGTTAACATGATGTGCGAGATTCTGCAGCGTGCTTACAATGCGAACCGAGGATATCTTCAAGAGTAGTCGTAAATGCTCATCGCCTTTTTTCAAAATTTCGGAATTTTGGGCGCAATTGCAACTCCTTTCTGCTATCGCCTCCGTCAAATCCTTCAGCGTTATTACTGTCTTATCACTAGCCTTAAAACAATTCATTTGGTAAGAACAAAAAACCTTATGGTCGCAGATGCTTTCTGCATACTTCACTGTTGCCGCTAGCGCAAGACAAAATTAGCAACATTTTTTGAGAGTCAGACTAAATTTTTAGTTTGTGTCAATATTAGAAAATATAATCACAATCAAATTTTTATTGTATTTTTATGCGTTTTTGCTGTGCAGCGTAGCAGCGCTATATTGCCATACGCTGCGCAGCAAAAACGCATACTCGAGAGGCTGTGTGTGTATGTGTGTGTGCATTTTGTCACCCACTTTCATCTCAGCAACCAGGAAAGCTGGGAGGCTGAAACTTTGGATATA